CGTTAACAAATTGTCGGTAACAGATTAATGTTAGGTTCGAAGGATCACAATTTTCGATTTTGAAAATCTTTTTACTCACAATGTTGTTGTATCCGACAACCTTCTTAAACTAAAAGTGATTCGTAGCTAATAAGCGACTAATTTTGTTATACAAAATGCATTTGACTGGCGAGAATGAAATTTTCGTTCGCGCGAAATTTTACTTTTTCGCTTAGGCAGTACATTGTAAACTCAAAGCAGGATATAGAACGGTACGAATGGCAGGTTCGTAAAGACGACCTTTCCAAAAAAATATTTATGAAAGCGACATTTCTTACGTTTGCACCTCGCAGTTGGAATGTCCCGCCTTCGAAACCGCTATCAGCAGACATTATTTTTTCCAGTTAGCACTGCTTTCAATAGATGACTAATTGTTTGCTCGAACAGCAAGAGGAAAGCGGAGAAAGAGGAGAGGAAGTCCGCATTGCAAAGAGTGGACAGACGTGGACAGTATTAGTCGATATTCGCAGACAAGATGCAATTTCACGTACGATTTCGGACTGTCCATATTAGCACTTAGGCCGAGAAAGTAGCTCATAGCTGAGTATGGTCGTGTAAAAGAGAGTCTTTTTCATCCACTGCATATATCCATTCTTTCTTCAGGCCTAGCAAGACAACGATTTTGAGTAAGATGACATCTCAAAATCAATTGGAAAAGGTGTCGCGCTATAATCTTGGAAGTAAAGTAGTAAATGAAAATTTACGTTTGCGTGTTCAGTGCTTAGAGGTCGCTTTAGTTCGAAATAAGTGATCGTGAAAAGGGAACGCAATAGCTGTACTCGATTTCCTCCGTAATTTCTTTTTTAAAGAAATACGAAATATTTCGCCTAACTGTATAGCGTTTCGCTCTTGGGCTTACATGCACCTCAATAATTTTTTCTCTATTTTATTATTTAATAATTTCTTTTTATTTTTTAATTTTTTTTTTTTCATCATTCATCATACGCGTATTCGGGAAAATATTATTTAAAGATGAAAACTAGCCTCCTGACTGATGACGCTGTTGCTAATGCCGCTTACCGTGCATAATTATCAATTCCACAAATAACAGAAACCACTTAGTTTATCCACAATGTGCACAACTGCCAGGTTACACTATGAAAAGAATCATTAGAGAATGAATGTGTATGAATGAATGCGAATTTAGAGAAAGAGAAGAATAAGTTCACCATGAATACCTTTTAATAGTACATAATTCTTTCTACTCTACTGCGATAATAATAATAATAATAATAATAAAATACTGGCTCAAAGCATAAGTTGTATGAATGGTAAAGCAATCTAAGGGTAAATGTCGCCACACAATAGTAAAATGGAGCGAAAAAAAGGAGAAAATACTTCTATATGTACCTGTACATACATTGTAAATATATATTATATGTATGAAGTAATTTCCTTTAAACGTAAGCTGGCTTTTCTTCGAGCAAATTGAAAAAAAAAAAAAAAGAAGAAAAATCATTAACGACCGGTTATATGAGAAAGCGGTAGAAGAAGGTGAGCATATATATATATATATATATATATATATGTAGAGCTCCGGCATAATGATGACGACGATTACTCGGCGTGGCTGTCGACACTTTAGTAACATTTAACTTTTTCTCTTTCAATGTGTATACTAAATAAATACAAAAAAAAAAAAAAAAAGTTAAAAAAAAAGAAAAGCAAAGAGGAAAATATATTTTAAAAGGCATAAAAGAAATCTCAGGGGGTGCATGAGAAATTCAACTTCACAGCCACTAGACAGGATGTACGGTAGAGAAGGGGATAGAGAGAAAAAAAAAAAAAAAAACAAAAAAAAAGAAGAAAAAGAAAAAGACTGAAACTAAATGACTGAACAACGGTTGCTCATAGGAAAGTGAAAAATTGCGAGGGGACGAAAATGGTGAATGAAAGGCTGAAAAAAAGGTATTTATTATAATACAAAATGGGTCTTCGTGATTTCAGTTTTCAGTTTTTTTTTTATTTTCCTTTTCATTCAACATTTCTTCGGCTATCTTCTTATATCAATCCGCACAAAATGGGGTATATTAACTTTCTCGTATGATTTGTACTATTTGACCTTGTCTCCCTTACCTCCGTTATCACTCTCGTCGTGCGTGCCTCTGAAAATAAGGTGCAATGGGAAAGAGGCATACACCAAGTCGGGTATCAGTGGCCACAATGCTGGCGTTGATAGGCCCGATTGTAGACTTTCATTACACAAGGGCTGTTATGCTTACGATATACGTAAACAAAAGATTCCCGACTTATCGTCGAAAGCCTAGTCGAAAATTGTTTAGCAAAGCTTTACTTGGCAACAGTACGCAAACACATTCTAGAAAATTCCATTTAAATCATTCACTTTAAATCCAAAGGTGACCTTAACTCGCTGATACGAATAATTTCAGAGATTCCATGATTTGCTTGCGTGTAATATTGTCGTCGTTTCGAGATGGCTTTCTAGGAGGATTTTACGCTGGAATCATTTCAGAGCAATTATTTCTTAATTTTGTTTTTAAACAACCGATTTACGGGATCGATCAACTGCGCTCATAATCGAAATATTTTTGCCTAAAATAATTGAAAAAAAAGAAGAAGAAGAAGTCGCCGTTAAAGCATTTTCTTTTATAAATATGTGGGCATGTTAATCCAAACAATTGAATTTTTGAGTATTCAATGCATCGAATTAAGGATACAACCGCATCATACCGCAGTTTGCCATTTAATGAGTTCTTTTCATTCTCATTATATGAGCAATGCATGTTTTTCATGCGAAAGAAAGCCACAAAGTTCCGCTTTTCAGAATTTTCTTCCTCTTATTCATGTCTTATATGTCGGGCAACAGTATTAGGTAGCTAGAGCTGTCATTGTAGCTAAAAATCGGTTCATTTACTCATTAACTCTTTTGAGAGATTTGAAAAGATTTTCGAATTCTAATAGTAAATGGTGCGCAGACGAAATCAATGAAATCTGAAAGGAATGTATATTGGAGTCCTGTTGATAGATGATATTTAAGATTCGTCTTATGACTATGATACGCGATTTAAACTTGAACCGGCAGTGATATTGAAATTGTTATAACTTGAAAAATAGCTCAAGCATTTTAAATTAAATTTCAACAGACACTCTATGGATGTGCGCCCATATGTGTTGCATTTCTGTTTTTTCTACGCAATTTCTATACCTATGTAGAGGAAGGTTTGCAAGTTTCTGCTTTCGCTAAAACGAACATTGAGTTTTATTATAAAATTAATGAAGTCTATCTACGTATGTGTGTGTGTGTGTGTGTGTGTGTGTGTGTGTGTGTATGCACACATACATAGTTATTTAGATGCATAGACGGAAAATAATTTGCGCATCCGCCTATGTGTGTGCGTTGACATATGATGTATGAAATTATAAATTTTCTTCTATTACAAGCGGTTAACAAGTTCAAAGGCAAATGTGACGTTTTGAGCGTTTTCTTTCCTTTGGGTTTTTTTTTTTCAAATCATTAAATATTTAAAAAGCATTTCACTTTTCTGTCGGCTGGTGCTGCTGGTGTTGCTGTCTCCAGGTTTCTGGCTTAGTTATAGAAATGGCGCTCACTTGAAAATAGTAATTTATCAAGAGAGCGAACGATGTGGCTGTTATTGTTGTTACTGTTTAGAGTAGCATTTATTAAAAAGGCATTACTTGCCCTAACATCGTCATCATTTAGTGGCAATCGTTGTTTTCGCCAGCGTTTTAAATAGCGTTTTCGTTATGTACATAAAGTCTGCATGATACCAAATCGATTTCGTACATTATCTAATATGTATGGGTGTACGGATTTGCTCGCTCATATATCTACAACTATGTTGGATGACGACAATGATGATGATGATGATGATGATGATGATTATGAGAATGTTGATAATGATAATAAAAGCTTGCTCATAAAGTATTGAACACAAAAGCCACAGTCACAAAACATACATTTTCGCAGGCATACACAGAGAGACGATGTTGTTGTGTTGCATGCCTGAGCTGACGTAGATAACGCGAAAGTACAGGCAAAGCCCAAAACCCTCCAGCCCGTTGCAATATTGTCATTGGCGTTGGTAGCTAAGGGACTGAACGAGCTGTTTATATACAACTCAACTCGAAAAGACACAAAGTCGCAATTTTGCTGTTGCTGTTGCTGTTCTTGTGCAATTTTTAGTAGATAGTCGTTTTATTTTTTTTGATTTTTTTTTTTTGATTTTTTATTTATTTTTTCTTTTGCTACCGTTTGTTTTGCTCGGGTATCTTTCAAAAATGCATCATTTATCATTTATATCAGTAAACTATAACAAACGCACTCCCACCACTCGCATTGCTACTTATTCCGTACGAGTGTATTAAAGCATAGTAATGTTAGCAGCCCGATTGCTTGCCAACTCACCCACCCCAGCCCACACAAAAAATGGTTAGGGCTAAGTTTTTGTACACAATTTTCGTTTCTATTTATGGTTTTTGTATGAGTTTCCTTTATGGGTTTTTAGCCGTGCGCTTAACTCATAAACTTCCGTTTTGCGGTTGCTAATGTTAAAATCTATACTAGCACTAGTACACGGTACGGTTAATACCATACAAATGTACATGTACATAGGTATATGTTTCTGCATGGAATTGCAGTCGGGAAATGTCAACTTTATAAACTATATACACGACTGTTATATATGTGTTGAAACGTCTGGGTTTTTTCCTCTCCTCTTCTTCTCAACCCCCGTTTATTTTTCCGTCTTCTTGTCCGTTTTAAATCTATCTAATAAAGTATTGACGGTTTCGCTTGAACACAATTTGATTTCAATTCAATTTAATACAAAGTTTAATGTTAAACGCTAAAGGATTTCTTTAATATCACAACGAAATAGATCTCATTATTTAACGCTTAGCATTCAAAACATACTTTACTTAGTGTCCATTCAATTGCCTCTTGATTTATATTTTTTTTGTTCTCGCTTTTATTATTGCAGCTGTATGCAGTTTGGATTGTGGATCGAATGGTGTCTGCGAGTCGGGCAAATGCCATTGTATGCCTGGCTGGACTGGAAATCTATGCGATCAACTGCCCTGCGATGCCAGATGCTCCGAACACGGCCAGTGTAAGAACGGTACTTGTGTTTGCTCCCAAGGATGGAATGGCAGACATTGCACATTGCGTAAGTGTTACGAAAATATGCAGAATTCCTTTTCTTATTTGCTATCAACGTAAAATGGCAAAAATTCTTAGTTTCCTTTTTGTTTTTTTTTTTTTTGGGTTTTTTTATTCATAGAACGAATATGCAAAAACAGATATTTGAGAAAATATTTTTACATGCATGGGTTGCTTGCAATAAAATTCATTTGCTTCTTTCATTATCTAAGAAATAAAAACAAATTTAAATTTTTGCGACATAAGTTTTTCTGCAAAAAAAATCAATGCAATCAATGAAAGTAAAATCAAAACAAATAGAATCCGGTGTGCGGTGTGCTCCAGTGTTAACCAGTAAACTGCTAGATCGATGCATAGGTAATATTCGGACTTTTTCCCGCGTCTGCGATTCTCTTTGGCCTGTCAAACTGTGATCATTCGTTCATTTTTTAGATTACATGGCGTCTTTCCCTGAAGGGTAAACACTGTTTTCTTATAATTTAAATGAAATTTATTAGATCGAATGTACGTATGTCGTTTTTCTGACTAAAGCTATGCGGCCTCACTGCAAGACATCTCGGATTACTGGACGAAAAAGTGCATGATTGATTTTCATAGACTTTTATCAAAAAAATTCACCGAAGCCAAGAGCGTTTTTCGCTCATCATCGGCTGACGTAGCACCAGTATTTTTATTAGATATGTTTTCTGTTAAAATCTTGAATTCCTTTCCTCAAGTTTAACTGACAGATTATTACAATTTTTGGCCAACACTGAATGATATTAATAACTGCCATCACTGCCATCACAGGACAAATCTTGCACTATAGTGGACCACGGCGCTACATCACAATACTGTTATCACAATATATATATATATATATATATATGGGCCGTTTAAAATAAGTCGTTGTATGGGGAGGATTCCAAAAAGTGGCCCGATCTGAACCATTTTAAATAGCGTTCATCAAAATTGCGGCTTGCAGGTTGAACGCAGGAAAACAATACGGGCAGACAGATAGACCGATGTTTAAACCGATTCAGAAAATGATTGCGCAAAACGCCTCTGAATCGATTGATACAATAAAAGGTGGACCTACCTCAAGTCCTTCTAGGCGTTGCATACATCCGCCCACACTTAATATGTCCTTGTACCACAAATGGAGCGGAGCGTAACGACATAACATAAAATTGACTGAACTCAACGAATCAAAAAGAATTTCACGCTTCTCTAGACCCTACGGCTAATATTTGAACGTATTTCAGTGATAAATGCAAGCTTCGAGAAAACTGATGTAAAATAATAATGTTCGAAGTGTTTTAAATATCGTAATTGTAATCAAAAAATGCACTTTATGAGCTGAATGAAGAATTCGGTCCTTGTAAACGTTTTTAGATATTATTCTTGAGTATTGAACGCAGCGATTTTAACTCACATTAACGCACAGCAGTTCTTGGGAAGAAATTACTATTTAGCTCACATTCGAATTCGACGCCTAGCTTAACTGAAAACTTTGATAGTAATTACTTGAATGGATTTACCGCCGGACGATATTCCCTTCGGTTGTTCTTTCTATTTTTTTTTTTTTTTTTTTTTTTTTTTTTTTTTTTGCATAAGCTAATGCTTGACATGTCGCTTTAAATTCTTATTAATCCTTGCCTGTGTTATAGCGAGAAACGTTGTCAGAATTTGTAAATAACAATAACAATAACAATAAGAATAAGAATAAGAATGACAATAATAACAAATCGTCGTAACAAATGCAGACATTGATACAAGTTGTTAAAATTCAAAGTTTCATGTAAATAAAATACGAAATGATGGATGCGCAACTAGAAGTCTTCGCTGAATAAATGATAATCACGTGCACAAATAAATAAGCAGTAGTTGGTTGTCTCCTAAACATATGATGTATGCATACGAGTCTAGTTCGCTGTCATTATCATTATCATTGCTTTAACTGTACAAACGAAAGCCAGCTAAGAGGTAATTGGATGACAAGACAGAGACAGGGATACAGTACTAACAAGTGACATCAATGTTTAACATGCACCCGGGCAAGGACTACAGAGCTAGCAATATGATAAAACATCGCCATGATAGCGACATTGTAATTTTTCTTTCTTTTTTTTTCTTTGCTCTTTTTTTTTTTTTTTTTTTACCCTACTTAAAGCACATTAAAAAGCAAAAGCACAAGAAAAAAAAAAAAAAAAAAACAAAAATAATACGTTTTTTTTAAATAAAATGAATTTCGCCGTAGTAGAATTAGTTACATGGATATATTTCAGTTAAATAAACCCGCATTACTACAAACACTTATGCACGTATGATGTGCATTTGTTTTCAACTTCTCCAACTTCCTGATCTCGACTATGCATTGTACATGCATGTATATATATATATATATATATTTATACTCATGTACGTATTATGCGCATATAGTAGACACTGCTTGTAATAGCATGTTGTGACATGTGTCGTATAAGCTCAGCGAGAATTTTTAACTTCAATTTGCTTATCATGAATTCTAGACGAATTTAAAAATTTTTTTTTGCTATTTTTTTTTTTTTTTTTTGTAGATTTTTCGAACTTTTTTCGTCTTTTTTCTTCCTCTTTGAGAATTTTGTGTACGAGTACTAACATATGCTGGCATATATTGAAAGTTCTGTCTTTATTTTATTTTTTTTATTTTTTATTTTTTTCGATTATTATTATTATTATTTTTTTGGTGTAAGAAGTTTTTCACACTTTTTAATATCGACTCTGCAATGTTGTGTACTTGGCTCTGTATTTCTTTTGCAATCTTTCTATGAGATTTGTATAAAAAGACAGCACCGAAGAGAACAACAGCAACAAAAACAATAACAACAACAACTAGTCAATTGTACATTAATATTGGCAATATTTTATAAAAATTGAAAACTTTTAAATTGTTGTTTGTCATATTGCAACAAAAAATGAAAGGGAATGAAAAATAAGTAAAATAAATAACAGAAACCATTATTATTATTATTTTTATTATTATAGTAAAGCTAAGTTATATTGAAGACGAAATGGGAGAAACAAAGTTTTTTAAATACATTGAAAATTGCTTTACTGCTATCGTTTGTCATGGCAACATAGTCGTAACAAGAACTTTTATTGCTTTCTCTTATGTCATATTATAAGGAAATTCGCATAAACAACAAAAGAGTAATATATTCGCCTAAGGACGAATCTTGCGCATATACATATCTCAAGTTAATTATCGCAAATCTTTTTCATTCGATCAGCCGTTCAGGCGATCAGGCGATCAGGCGATCAGGTGATCAGGCGATCATTCCCGCAGGGACTAAAACTTGCGTTTCATATCCGTCATCGAAGGATGACGAGTATATTCATTTCGTCAAAAGGTTTGCAACACCCAGACGAAAGTGTCTATATTCTTACATCTGCATGCAATTCTACACCAATTTAAGCATGTCTATCTGTCTGTCTGTCTGTCTGTCTGTCTATCTATCTGTCCGTGTGTGTAACGCCTCCTGTTCGCAAAAATGTAGCTATCAGCTTTAACGTCCATGCAAATGCTGGAATTGCTTGTGCGCAGGCTGGTGCGGAAAATGGGACAAATTGGTCAAGGCAGACGACCACCGTACAACATAATCTAAGACCAAACACAATTTCGTTTTTGCTCATTACTCACGAAATATACAGAAAATAAATGGACGAAAATCTGAGCGTATATTGTGTGGGTAATGGTGCGGCACCTGCACTAAAATAGAAAAACTCGACCACGCCTATACAAGGTTATAAGGTATCATTAAATATTTGTTGTTTCATTTTTTTTGACGTTTTCTACTTATTACTCATAAGGTAGACCGGACTGTTGAATGTTGAACATTATTCTATGCATTCCTCACATTCCTCACAATCGTACGATCTTGCTGAAGCATGGACTTGAAACCCACATATATTTTATGATATCTCTGATACTCGTTTTCAAATATAATCTGATGTCTCGGCGATAAATAAAATAAAATAAAATAAAATCGCATTTATTTTCCAAAAATTAAATACGAAGAATGATAGCTGATGACTAAAGTTTTCCAGGGCACTTGATTACAAAGTTCTATTGCTCTTCATGAGTAACGTATGACTTTTTAATAACTTATGTATGACTTTCTAAGTGAATTGAGGAGAGATGACATTTTGCGCTATAACGCTTGATGTCCTATTTTGTACATCCGGTTGTCCCTGTCCAGGTATTCCATTTAAGCTGGTGTTGCACAAATGGCAATAATATAATCTATTGTTATTATATCACTTCTGAATTTCCCGCATAAGTCTGTCTCTATTTCTTGCCTCATTATGTGCCTTCAATCCATTTATGAAAAGATCCGCTCGGACTCTGTAGGTCTATCGTATTGTCCCCCGCTACAGTCGCACGGTTTCCGTCTATATGTTTTTGTGCCCAATTACATAACAATATCTGGGTGGTGGGTTATTATATTGCTTGGTGTCTCATGGCTGCTGCTACTACTTAGTGACGTATAATTTTTATCTATTTTCGGCAAGATTGCTGCGATAGGGCAGCCTTTGTGCGACTTAAAGTATATCGTTAAGTGTTTAACCTGCGCATCTCGCAAATTCGGTAGATTCGTTATATCGCGGTTCACTTTATTATTATTATTATTATTACTATTATGATTATCATTATAATTATTATTCTTGGTATCATTGTTATTATTTTAATTAGTTTTTCTTTTTTTTTGCTCCCAACGAACTTTCAATTTTAAGGCTGTATAGAGCAGCATATGCATCACGCAATTTATCATATATGCGTTATGGGTAAAAACGTTGATATAATACATATTGCGTTTATGTTAATATAGTAAAATATTAATAAACATTCACAAAAGGCAACGCACGAAAAAGACGACTAATATAAAATATGTACATATTTGAATTTTGCATCCATTAAATATGCTTTTCATACATTCGATTGTATTCTCAGCCATTTTGCTATTTTACATATAATAATATATATATATATATATATATATATATATATATATACATAGATTTGTATAAATTGTGCAGTGCTTGATAGATTCTTGTGCAACCTGTGTGCGCGCAAGCCTTGAATTTAATTAAATTTATTTTAATTTTTCTCTCATTTTCTTTTTCTTTTTTTTTTTTTTTTTTTTTTGCATTTTCATTTTCATTCATTTATTTATTTTTTTGTTTATTGATTCTTTTCGCATTTTAGCTGGCTGCGAGAATGGCTGCTCACGTCATGGTCAATGCACTCTTGAAAATGGCGAATATCGTTGCGATTGCATTGAAGGTTGGGCTGGGTCAGATTGCTCAATTGCATTGGAAATGAATTGCAAAGACAATATTGATAATGATGGAGGTAAGTTGTGTTAATTTATTTCCGTTTTGCATACAATTAATGAATTATTCAGTGCTATTTTTATAGTTACGTTTATTATTGTAAACCACATTCACAAAAATGCAAACAATGAAAACTTTTTATACCCATTTATATTGCCTGTATATCAGTTTTTCTCTCTTCTCTCTTCTCTTTTCTCTTTTTTTTTTTTTTTTTATTGTACACATGAATTTATTACATTTATTCTTATTAATCCGTTAGAGTGATCTGTGTGGGATAACATTTTTATGATAGAGTTAGTTACCTCGCAAAAAGGAAAAGGAAAAAGAGAAAGAAAAACAAATTAAACTTCAGTTATCTTATGTGTCAAGTTTTATGATCAGACATCTGCAGACATCGACAACGGACTAAGTTCTTAGCATAGTTTCAAAGTCGAGTAAAAGCTCTTATCCTCCCTCTAGCTAAAGTCTAAGCAAGCCGCACAGAACCCGCATGGTTTCTGCTTAACAACATTGCGATTATTTGCTAGACTCGCTTCGTAAAGAAAAATAAATCAAATTGATAACAAAATCTCAATGGGATGAATGTATGGAAAAAAATAAAAAAGTTTACCTCGCATACGAAAGGAAAATAAATAAAAGAAGGGAAAAAGAATTGATAAACGTGTTTTATAGTTCAGGTAAAATTTCACAGTAAAGCAAATAAACTAAAAGCAAAATCTACATTCGATTTGAGCCAATCGAATCGGTTATTCTGTTAGGTCATCAAAATCTCGACCCTGCTTACATAAATAATGGAGAGGAAGAAAGCTCCCTTACCTAAGCCTAATTTGTTAATGACATAAAAATAGTTTTATTACCTAACTCTAGAGATAAAAACTAGTTGTTGTAAGAAGGAAAAGTTTTCGCTTTCAAATCCCGCGTTGCCCCCATGCAAGGATTTCGCCTTTTTAGTTTGTGTTAAGTCTATAAAGTCGATTAATCATGAAAAAGTGCACGCTTTCATAATCGTTTCTTCAAAAAACTTTTGACACAATTTGCTTTGCCCTCACCTCAACATATGACTCTTGCGATTGCTATAATTTTCACATCGTTCTAAACTATAGGACATAATTCCCTATGTTTTCCTGCCCAACAATGAACAATACTTTTTGAATGGAAGAGAACATTACTGCGTTGAATGATAAAGTTCCGATAAATTGCATTGATCGGTTGTGGCAAATGAAACGAGGAACCAACAATCAGCTTACGGTACAGTTTTTGTGAAAGCTTGAACGAATTATATACCGACCAGAAGTGCTTTCAAGACACCGGTTTCACACAGTCATACAATATTATAATGATGAAACTATATCGTATGTTGTTATGCGACATTGTAGATAGAATCAGAATCCACGAGATGGGTTGGCTTTCAAAATTTGATGCTTTTCGAATACTGTACATGTCGGGGTATATTGTAGAAGACCAACGTGAACTTTCTTCAACATTGTTGTGTGTATGGATGTGTGTGTGTGTGTGTGTGTGTGTGTGTGTGTGTGTGTGTGTGTGTTAAGTTTTTGCCGATCTCTTTCTCAATATTGCAAACGTAATATATGCACACACACACACACAAATCTCAGAATGTGCTTCAGAATGCGGCACATGGTGTAATCAAATGTATAGACAGACAGATTTGCATTTGGTTAAAAAAGGCAAATGGAATTTTATTTCTGTTAGTTTTTTGTCTATTTTTGTTTACCATTTTGCTTGGTGTTCGGAGTACAATTCGTCCTACTGCAGCTATTGATGTTCTCAAATTTTATTATTTACTTTTATTTTCACTCTAATTTAATAACTTTATCAATTTCATTTCATTTGTTGCCTGTTTGTCTGTCGAGTTGAAAGAAAAATAAATTCAATTATCAATCATGTTTTCATAAGCTTTTCGAAATATTTACGTATATGTTCTCTTCATGTTCAGGGACAAAGAGAGAGAGAGAGAGAGAGAGAGAGAGAGAGTGAGAGAGAGGGAGAAAGAGTGTTTGTTTATTTAAATTTGTTTTTATCTCTTCTGTACTTGCATAGAATCTACAAAATATTTTCGTCAATTAAATATTTTGAAATGCTTCAAATACACAAGAAGTATTGTAATCAATGAATCGATTATAATAAATTCAAGGTATATTTAAGGAAAAGAATAACGTCAGGCTATCAATTTTAAATGTCATACTTCTTCTAGCACCGTTGACCATTCTTTTTATCTACCTCGAAAATTGCTATTGGCTTTTACCTCTCTCTCTCTCTCTCTCTCTCTCTCTCTCTCTCTCTCTCTCTTTCATTGTTGACACACTCGAAAGAAAAGCAAATAATAATAAGATATTGATTGCCCTCTGATTATTTGCTATTAAAGCCTCGTAAGGCTTGTTCGCAAAATACACTTTTAATCAACTTTAGTTTTTTACTTATAATTCTCTTTGACTGAGCGCGATGACGTAATAATTCTTTCATTTCGAAGCTTCATATTCATTTAGATCGCTTGTATTATATTTCATCAAATATTGTTTTCATTCATATTAAGTCAGTGTTACAAACTAGTAGATCGCTTTAGTATGCTAACAAGTGCTGACGAATGTATAAGAGACCCAACTCACAACCAACTCTAATACAAATTGATAAACAAAAAGAAAATAAAAGAAAAGTACATATCAGTAAAAGGATTCGTAGGTGTTTTTTTTTTCGATGAGAGAAAAACCACACTTAAAACAAATCATGTTACTTTTCTAATATAATTTATTAGAAGTAGATTTTGATTGATTTTTAATTTTAATGCAAGCATCTTTAAAAGAATTTAATAAAACTCTGCATACACACGCTATACATGCTGTTTTAATTAAATACATTCCCGAACTTGATAAGTCCGCGAACGAGAAAAGTCCGCATGGAAAACTTTCCAATTGTCAATTGTTTGATTGGTCTAGTCTTCCGAATGCTAGCATCGCCGTACACGCGAGATACCTAAATTTGAAGTCACGTTTCGTCCATACATTGAAATGACATTTAAATACTCGCCACCAGCCTACAGTTATTTATATAAAAATTTTCCCAAATAAGCTGTTATATGGGAAGTGCTCGAAAATTTGGACTGATCTGAACTAATTGCAATAGTATTCCATTGGTCCATGGACCAAAATACAAGAGTGGAACAAGTTTCATCAAAATAGCTCGAAAATTTGCGGCATGCAGGCTGAGCACAATGTCATAAGACGAAAAGGAACACAGAGACCCTTAAATCAAATCGCGAAGTGATTCCGAGTCGAGCGATTGATATAATAAAAGATGAATCTATCGCAAGTCATTCTGTGTTACCCATATCCACACATCCTTAATATACCCTTGTAGAAGAGTGTAGGATACCGATAGACCGATTTCCCGGTTTTATATTCGCTTCAAAGCAAAACCAGGTATTATTTGAAAAGAATGGTAAAAATACTACAACGTTGCTATTATAATTTATGCTTATCGCAAAAAAAGTAAATCCTAGCAATAAATTTTACTCATTTTTCTAACAGAATATGAACGCCATGTCGCATAGCCGAGTCTGCGCTGCACCCCGTCTTGCAAATCTCAATACAGTATTTGATCGTAACTAGAATGAGTATTTAGTCGGTAAGGGCGTAACACTCGGGCACACCATCCCTTAAGCTACGGCCAATCTTTGTCTCTTCCCCCACATTTTTCGGACCATTCCCGTGTTGCACGTGTCACGAAGTAGTCCCTGAGTGATTAGTCACAATAAAAAAACAACGGAAATGGTATCAATTTTTGACGGAGACACGGCTCGTTGCATTTCGAGCCCTTTTTTCTTTGCACAATCCTTTACAACGGTTTGAAATTGCTTTTGTTTTTGTTCAACGTTTCACAACCCAATAGTATTCCAACATGAGATCAGCCGGTCTTTCTAACTTTTATAAAGATTTCATCGACTCCTCGATCGCGGTGACCATATATTTTCAAAACTAAGCGTTAACGCCTTGTTCGCAGTATAATATTTGGTTCGTTTTCAAAACGCAATCACTCTTCACCGATGAATAAATCTTGCATCTTTTTCTTTTCTCCGAGTTATTAACGGCATGTCGTTTTCACATCCGCATTTCGCATGCGTAATAGTATGACTCGGTGAGATTGACATAGTCTAACTTCCGGGATTCTAAGGCCGTCGATCATCGAACAAATGACGAGAATTTTTGTCGTCCTTTTTTTCTCCATATCGAGGGTGAAAAACGTTGTTCCCCTCCTTCTTTTTCAACATCGGTCGTAATGTGCCTGTCTTATTTAAGTCATGGCGGCGATGAAAAGCTTTCATCTTCGCTGGGAATCGAAAATTGAACGCATGGCTTCAACCTCAATACAAGTGAGGTTGTATAGAAAATTGGAAAGAATTTCGGACACCAGAATTCCTTCGAGAATATCATATATCATTGAAGTGGGAAGAAGGATTCATTCAGATTGATCTTTACCAAATTAGAAACGAATGGCATATGTAAATCACTGAACTGAAGGTGACTTCGCGCAATTGGTTTTCATCATCCGTACATCTTCCTCAAGCTGTAATTGTTTTTCACCGCTTTATAGATCTAGGGAGGAAAGCAAAATTCAAGGATGCCCTACTACGCTATACTAAAATGCGCATTGTAAATAACATACACACACGAAATTCAAAATTTTTCCATTGTTTTACAAAAACAAAAGTACCGTCACGAAAGCAGGCGTAACCTGCAAAGTAATGCTCGGGATGTCGCGAAATTGTAATAGATTTCGTTTGAAGGCTGCTACACTAGCTAAATGCCATACGGAGGCGTTAATAGTCATCCTATATCCGGTATGCCATCCTACAAACTTATTGAGTGATAACTTATATACTTGTATATGAGAATATATGAGGCTCACCTTGCACAACGAGATGGTATACACAGGTCTGATATGTGTTTTATTTTTGTATTCTTGTTGAATTCGTATACCATATTTTATCCTGAATATTATGTCAAACAGGTTTTTATTTCTGTAACACACACTATTTAGTAGCTTAATAAACCAAATTTTAGTGGAAGGCTTTTTTCCTACATACGTATTGAAATTGCGGTATCTCCTTTAGGGTTAATATTGAAGGCATTCTTTCTTCAAGTATGTGATCTTCGTTTTTCGTTTTGTAACTTCCACTTATACGTTACCAACTTTACCATTTGCCAGGGAAACAATTCATGGGAAAACAATTCAAAGACACGCTAAAATATGTCTGTTCATCGTTGAGCATTGTCGCCTACGAAGCCACGAACGTAGTTGCGCCTATATTTTCAATTATTTTACCCAACAACAATCACTGAAACTATCGAAGCACATTTTGTCATATACGTCACAAAATACAAATAAAATGGATTTGTGGTTTCTGCATCTTCGCGTCATATCCTTCCTAAACAAGCTTATTACATATCAAGTAGAGAGGTGAAATGCACATCTTCGTAAAACTAAGTCGTAAGTCGTATAGGTTGAAGTTAAGATTTGAACATGTATCTGCATGTATTAATTCTTAAAAAAAAAAAAAAAATCCTAAAAAACTTCGACGAAATGCCACGGGATTTAACTCTACTCGAATAAAACAAAACGCTCGCTTCGATTCCATTTCCCTTCTATTGTAAACGCCAACGCATATCATATGAATAAAGCATATTGTAGGGCTTGTGAAATATTTATTATGTGTTTCTGATATGTATTTAAATGTACATGTGTTGCTACCGAGCACATGATGTAGTGTTTACGGTTGCTATTGTCATTTAATATCGCCGCATATGTGTGATGTTTGTTATTTATTGAATAAATGTCTGAGAGCTTTTAAAGAATATAAATTGACATGCGAAAGGGCTTACGTGTGAAATTTATCCCAACAACACTATCATGTGAGTGTGTATATAGGAAAAATTTAAAACTTCTACATGTTGATAAAGAGAATTTAGAACTAAAAAGGGATTTCTTTTATGTCTCTTTTTAACTTTTTTTTTAAGACTTTGGGTATGAAATAATATTCAGTCAGTGCATAAACGTTAACGGTGTTTACTGTCTCAGCTAACGTGCATAAGCTGTAATTTCTAAAGTGATAACATCCCCACTTTCCCCCCAAAATGAAGCGAAAGTTTCCTTTGCAACACTGCGAAATATTCGCCAGGGATGTCACGAAGTATACACATCCTAGATCTCTATCGAATTTTAATTACGTTTACCAAACTGCGCCTACATGACTCTCCAAGTACTGCTTGAGTTCTTAAAGCGACAATGTTAAACTAATTGTGCGGACATTTATCATATGATCCATGCAATTACGTTTACCTTTTTCCAATTTCCTTCTGCGCTATCATTAAGGCGTAAAGTATGCTATTTCTGGCTTGTCATATAAATATTTGTAATCTAACAATCAAGAAAACAGTAACTGGTCATCTCACGACCGTAATAGCAACTCCAATAAACTAAATAACTGTACTCTTCTCGTAACGCGATTATACGCAAGGCGAATTAATGGCGACCCGCATTTATCGACTACATTAGACTCTTGCGTACGGTCATGCGTACGCGCGCTTAATAATAATTGAAAAGTCTTTGATAAACGGTATACCCAGGAAAAGACGCTGGAAGCTGGATATCTCTTATGGATAATATATTCATCAAATTGTCGGAAATGTTGATAATATGTGCATAATTTGCAATTAAATTTTTCTAATCATTGTAAGATATTTGCAAGGGATTAATGCAATGCACGATTTAATAATAAGTAGAATTTGTGGCAAGGGTTAAACGTGGGTTCCTGCCTGAAAGGCTTAACCCCACGGTGGCCCAAGCCACTTTTAAGCGTACTACGCCCCCTGGCGAGTTAGACAATCCCCACAGAGTAGGGGCCTAAACAGCACCAGAGTCCAGATCAGTTTATTGTGTATGGAACAATAAACCCCACTCTGGTGAATGGCGAGGCCTAGCTGCACTCAATTGTTCCATTTTAGCTAGGAACTCGCCAACCACAACCACCACGAGTACTCCCCGATGGGCCGCACCCAAGCAGTCAGGACTCACAAATTGATCAACTGACTGCTTCCGCCATAAGGCTTCCACTGTGCTGTCGATCAATTACCACCATTACCCGCAGGCATCCGTGACATGTGTTCAAAAGTAAAAATAGGTAAAAGGGGAAAACTTATTCGTCATATCCCTTTTCCATTTTTGAATGTATTAATTAATTTACCAGACATTTTCTATCAATCGGCCTATCGGACGGAAGGCCGTCCGTCAATTCCTTTTTGCAGTAATAGTATAATTAATTTATTTATTTATTACGACTTAAGGACAAAGTCCATCATATACCCGCAGGCATACGTGGCTTTGTGAGGCGAGCTTCCTGACCCCCGTGGCTCCCAGTTTGTTTTGCAAAGCCTTATGGCATACTTTGGGCGGTTGTTAAAAACAACCGTACTTGCCAGCCCCAAGTGAACTACTTTTCTTCAAGATATATAGGTCTCGGGTATTGCACTGAACATGGTAGACTAGTCTAATGCACTCTACCATGTACTCGCTAGATTACTACCTTCATTGTACTTAAATACCATTCAATATATTTCCTCGGTAGTAACTAGCTTATTGAGTAAGAGCTCTTCTTCCAGCCAACCCCTCCACCATCTCTCAGAAACTCGTCGCCGAGTTAGCAGCCCAAAACCTTAAACTCTTCTTAGCCGGCCGAAGCCGTTGCCCGGGGATCACCGCTGGGAGGTGAGAGTTTCGGCACATCTATGCTTCCCATCAAAGCATAGTTCATCTCCCCAAATAATAAGTAGAAAAAGGAAAGCATAAAGGTTTTTAATGTTTACTACCTCCAGATTTGATGTTGAGGGAGATTTTGAAAAATTTATATGAAACGTGAAGCCATAAATTTCCATAAGCCATTGCTCCACTTTTATGAAACATAAATATTTCATATCTTTCAATACCCACATAACCGCTTTTGCAAGCAAACTCTCATTCCATATATGTGTCTCTTTCTCTATCTATATATATATATATACACATATATTAGGGAAGTGCAAAAATATTTGCTTGTTTTGTGCGAAAACAATCGCAACTGCGGTAAGCAAAATGTGAACTATTTCACTTAATGGCATCGTTATTGAGCAATATCCGGGGAGAAAATATCTTTACTTTTGGCCAAAAAAACTTGTATTTCTTATATAAAATGATGGAGCGAAGATTGTAAACATTTAAACAAATCAATATACGATACCTCAGATTACGTTTAGGTTATGTTTACGAACTCTGGAAATTGTTTCTTTCGGGCGAATGAAATTTTGCGAACACGGAAATTCTTTTTAATTTCGAACAGATAAGTAGGACTATTCTGAATTGATCGGTTCCTTTCTGCTATGTTGTATGTGTTATAAAAACTTGACAAAATTATTGTAAAATGATAGAAAAAGAAAACGGCAAGAACTTTTCCTCCTAACCGATATATAAACCAATGTCTTTGTTTTCAGATGGCATGACTGATTGTTCGGACAGTGAATGCTGTTCGCATCCGGCCTGTGCCGAGCATATAATGTGTTTATCTTCCAATGACCCGGTTGAAGTTTTATTACGCAAACAACCCCCTTCGGTAACGGCATCATTCTACCAACGTGTCAAATTTTTGATTGAAGAGAATTCCGTGCAATCTTATGCTCATATGGATGAGTACAGCGAAAAGTAAGTACAAATGTTTACCATTTCATAATAAACGATAGAAATAATAATAATAAAAAAAAGAAGCAAAAAAAACCATAATAAAAATTTAGTTGAAATTTAAGAAAAGCAAAAAATTTCCTAATCTTTTAACTAATTAAAATAAAAAAAAAAAAAAAAAAAAAAAACAAAACCAAAAAACTAAGTCTTGAAAAGCTTAATTAATTAATTTTTGAAATACATTTTATGGTTTCCATTTTAATTTATATTACAAGAATGCACCATAAAATGCTTTTATTTTCTATAGGAGGTATTTTCTTTCTAGGGCACATTTCGGTTTTTGTTTTTTTTTTTTTCGTCTCTTTATTACAATAATTATTTGAACAATTTTTTGTTTAATTAATGTTTAAAAAAAAAAAAAAAAGCTGGTGCAATGAAGAGAAAAAGCTCAAATATATTTACATAATAATTATTTATGAAAATGTTGGTTCCTTTTAATTTTTCTAAAACTAAATTTTTTCATTTTATTTTTTCTATATTTTCAATAAGTATTTTATTCAATTAATTAACTGTGCATAATAAATATTTAAAAAAGAAAAAACATTAAAAAAAAAAAAAAAAAAAAAAAATTATATAAACAGTAATTAATTATTATGTTTTTTTACGCTTTCGTTTTTAACAATTAAAACACAAAAAAAAAGAAAAAATTTTACGAAACAAAAAAATGTATAGAAGAAAAAACAAATTTATTTAAACCCTAAACTGAAATCCTTACAATCCTTTACCAAGTCCCCTCAATGAGTCAGTCTATCATTTATGCGTTGGAATGTAAGTTAAAAAAAAAAAAAAAAAAATCGAAGAAAATCCTGATTTTTCATTCAGTTTTGTCCACAATTTTACTTCGTTTCAAAATATTTTTTCAAAACTTTTTGCTTTCACATTCATAATTTTTCCAAAAACATAAATAATAACAAAAAAAAAGAAAAAAAAAAAATCATTAAATATGTTTAGCTAAAAACATAAAAAATTTAAAAAAAAATCTTTTTTTGGTTTGAGCTTTTTCTTTTCTTGCCGAACTTTATATAGGGCTTTGAAACTAAAAAAAAAAAAAACAAAAAGAAAAAAATAAAAAAAAATCCAAATAAAATTAGAAAAAAAAGAAAATTAAGGAAAATTTTTATAAACACTTCTTGAGTTTGATTTGTTATAACATTTTTGTTCAGTATATACTTAATTTTTTATTTTTTAATTTTTATTTTTCTTTCAAAGAAAATTTCTTTTTATATATTCTCAAACGAAATCCAAAGCGATAATAATGATAGCACCTCATTGAGTATGTGTGTTGTCTAGTGTTTTACCTCCTTGTGTTTGTCTTACCCCAAAAATCAAAAACAATATAATGATAACAAATAATAACAATAATAAAATACATAAAAATTTTCTTGAATATATAATAAATTTCAAAAAAAAAAAAGAAGAAAAAAGCAGAAACAGAAAACAGTGAAAAACAAAAACTAAGAAAAAAAGGGTTTTTTAGAGCTAACAGTTAACAGCAAAAATATTATCAGATTATTAATGTCTAAAAAAAAGGAAAAAGGAAATTAAAAAAATAGTAACGTATTAGTTAACATTTTTCATATATAATTTTATTTAAACATAATTATTTGCTTACTTTGGTTTTTAAAAGAAAATTTCACTTCCCTATTGATTTTGTTTTAGTTTTTTTATCATCCTTTCAAGTGAATTTCTAGGTTTCAAGTGTACTTTTTTGTTGTTGTTTTGTTAAACTTTATTCTGTGTTTTTTATTTTTTTTTTTTTGTTTTATTTAATCTTGAAGACCGGTCCTATATTAAAGGTTGTTTAAATCTTACAATATATTATATACATATGCACTTCCCATCACTTGAGTGAGATAATATTTTTTTTTTTTTTTTTTTTTTTGTTAAATTATAAATGACTTGAAGATTGCGCCAAAGTGAAGAGTTCTGCCGGTTTTCATATAACGATTGCATATGCGATTGGTTTTAACCTTACAGAGAATTTGATTCATTCTGTCCTAAATGTTTGACACTCGTCATCATGTACCTGGTTTCGTAACTAGAAACGTCGTAAGGTACTATAAGCGAAGCATAAGTATCCTGGCGTATATCTATCACGCAACACATTTGGTTTCTTATTGGTGACATTCTACGGCTGATTTGCAATCTTTTTTGGCAGCCGTGCAACATTTTGCATAGCCATTTAGTCACGCAGCGAAAATATTTCTTTTGCATTCTTCTCTCAGTTGCATTGTGTGTGTTGGGCCTTTTCGAAAAGGTTGGAAAACCGGTCAATGTACACGACGGAGATATTTCTTCTTAACAAATTTATCTCATGCAACATTTCAATTTGTTTGAGTAATTGCAGTATAAACAGCAGATTTTCAATAAAACTGCTGAGATAACCATCATACGCCCCCGCGTAAAGAAATTCTATTAGCATAATAGAGCCAACTTGTATACACTTATAAACTTTTATAACCAAATGCTTTCTTTTCGTTTAGGTTTTACGATTACTTTTATCAAATTGATTAAATCCGCAGAGCAATAGTTACAATAAAACCACTCGTATGAACGAGTTTTGTTGTAAAATAAGATTTTTGAGCTGCGAAAATCACCAAAAAAGAGAAAACAAAAAACATTGATATTGATAAGAAGTGATCAGACTGTAAGTCATTACTGGTAAAAAGTTTGTCCAGCGCCTATGGACGGTCCGTAAAAAGAAAAATTGAGATAGTTCAATATATATTCTTTAACAATTGATTTGCCAAGATACGCCCAAAAAATTATTTAAAATTTCAACTGGTGGACATGCTCCAATACGAACATTCTGTTCTGCTCTTCACTTTACATGCAGTTGTCTCAAGAAGTCGAATACTTCTCTTATATATAATAGGTGTGCAAATAGGTTCTGTCACTTGAAATTGGTTGCTTCTTAAAATGTGTAGATAGTTTGAGCTTTGGTGTATGTAACATATACGATATAATGCAAAAAATTTAAGCCTCGATGGCGATCGGAAATCCGCCTACGTCCGTCTGTCTCTACAAAAAGCAGCTCAGAAAATGATCATCAATTTGTTCGGCGTACATCTCCCGATTGCGATGTGTTTTACGGACGTATCTGTTTCTCATTAGTACTGATGCAGATCGATGCAATTATATTTAGCGGAACAACAGGTCTGCAAAGTTGAAGATGTACGAAAATAGAGCAAAAACTATTTCCCCTTGAAACAATAAAGTTTCCATGGTGAGGGCATTCGCAAGCTGCCACGATAAAGCACAACAAATATCATAGATAATGGCGGTAAATGTTTTGATTAAGTTTGTTAACAGGTGTATTTCAAATAGAGTTAAATTTTATCAAAAAAAAAAAAAACGTCGGAATTTATTTATACACCTAATATATTGTATTGCATGTTTCATTCCATGAACAATCTGTACCACTATGTACTTTCTTTTTCTCCAAAAAGGGACGAAATGCTTTCTTGATCAAGTGATTCGAAGGGTGTATGTTATAATCATTGCAGCCTTTATTTACAATTATTTTAAAAAATTAGTTAAGTAAAAGTCTAACAAATAAAAAATTAAAAATGAAACAAGGATATAAAACATTACGAGAAATCAATTATGAAAACTTATTTAATATATTTTATTAAAATGTGTGTGTCTAACATTCAGTTGAAATATATTTATAATTATATATTTTTTATAAATTGATTTATTTATTTATTTTTTATTATACAAAGTATTAAGCATCTTATACATCAGCTAAGCCAATAGTTTAAGTAAAAAAGAAAAAAACAAGATTTATGAGGAAAGAATACCTCACGTCTTCTGTGTATGTGTGAGCGTGAGAGCAATGTATGTTTGAATGCTGCTCCCTGTGAGATGGTGATGCGTCAAATGTTTTTAATTTTTTTTGTTTTTTTTCTTTTTCAATTTTATAGGCATAGGATTATGTACGTAGATCTCAATGTCTAAAATTATTAAAAGAAAAAAAAAATATATATATATTTGATTTTTTATTTTTATTTTTTTTTTTAATTTATTTTCTTTCGATATTTTATTATTATGATTGTTGTCTAATAACGAGCTAGTAAATGATTTGCTAAACAAATTGCTTTGATTTCTTTTTGTCTACTTTTTCTTTAATTTCTTTGTTTCTTTTACGATGTATTTGTCCTGTCTAACAAAAATGTGTATTGTGTCCTCATGTGTATGCTGTATCGTACAAATTAACATAACAAAAAAAAAAAAAAAATAAAAAAAATAAAAAAAATATAAAAAAAATTCAACCACAACTAAAACCAACAACTATAACATGAATAAATTATATGAAAATCATGATAAAAATTCTTGCATACAAATGCATTTAATGAAATTTATTCAACGAAAAAAAAAAAAAAAAAAAAATAATAATAATAATAATATATATATATATGTATATACATATATATAAAATATAGTATTTTCTGGAGCTCATTTACTCCTTGGTAAGTTGCATTGATGATTCATATAATGTGAAATGAAAAACTCAGTAAGAAGAAAAAAGAAAAACAAAATCATTAAAATCATTATCACTACACCTAGAAAATGCATTTCTTTAAAATCAGCAAATGAAATAAAGCAAAAGCATAGAATTTTTTATCTCCTTATAACTGCAAGTCCACCTAAGTAGGCAAACAATATTTACATTTAAAGTGTTTTTACCATCTCTTTGGACTACATTTTTGATTTTCATATTTTTTGTTGGTCTTTCTTACACGCAACGGCGAGGTCTATGGAATACTTGAACGCACGACTGATAAATCTGCCTTGGTAACAAACATACGACCATAAGTTTCGTTAACCGTAAGTTAGAGAGCAATGCCAATTTCCGTAGTACTTTTATAATGCTCTCAGCAGACTTACCGACTCGATATATTGTTGGAATTGTTCCTAGAAATTACTGCCCTGTTTCTTCTTAGCTCGAATGATTGAAAACTATTTCCGCGAAAATTTATTGTCTTCTTGCCTAGTTTATGTAGTATTCCCTTCCTATTGTTATAGTGTTTTTTTGCAACAATCATTGGAAGACTTTTTCTTGAATAACTGGAGCATTTTTCTTTAAACGCTGCAGTGCTTTGAAACATTGCACAGCTTGTTTACTTAACATTGCAATTTTTTCGCTTACCTACTCTGGACGTTCTTCCCTGATTCTTGTAGTCACTGGCACATGTTTCGTTTACCGCTTAAACTCGTTGAATTTCTGATCACATCTTCAAGGGTAAGCTTTGGAAATTTATTTCTGAATGCTAGAATGCTTCTATAAATGCATTGACCACACCATTCTGTCGATGACTGTCACGACTACAGCTCAAGCTGTTGCAATATTCTCAACAACAGATGCTGAAGCATGGAAATTTGCTTTATTTCCTCACTGGCGTTCCCTTGTGCGAACTTATTCTAAAAAAGGTGGTTTTGCAATCGCACAACAATATTTTTTTTTTAACTTAGACCGTTGAGTTAAACAGAAAGACCGGCAATTGTTTGTTGCACATGCCAAGTACTAGGATTTAGAGCTATCTTGGTTGATGAAGAATAGCACGCGGAAAATCTTAACATTGAACTGAAGTCATGCCATCGTCTGACCAAAAACGCTTTGTTGGTTATGGGCCATTGCTGGCATTCGCAACGTTCTTACTGAAGAATGTTTCACGGAGCAGAAAGTACTTTGACTATTACACTAAAGCGATATCGCTACAAGAGTTTAACTTACTATGAATAAATTGAAAAATGAGTAATGCTTTCAGATACTTATAGCTTTCTCTCAATTAAATTTGAGAACAATAAAAGCGATAATCATAAGCTATTGCTATTGCTTTCAAAGGGAAGACGTCAATGAATTCGGGAGACTTGATTATACTCTTTGTTTTTTTCATGACAAGATAAGACGACCATCTACCAACCAAATGTAAACTTTGATCACAAGTCCCTTCTGATAGAAAGAACACAAAAGATCTCTTTCTCATCTTTCAAAACGCTTAGAAGCTTTAAAACGGTACGAGCGCAACGCCATGACACATAGTCAGATTGTAACTGAAACTTGTAACACAACTTGGCACTACTACTTATCCAACAATATTACGATCAATTGCCACGCCTTATTAGAAAGGATAAATGTCGGTGGAGAGAAAAAAAATTTTTTGGCCTGGACGATAATGCCATAAGCCTTATATTTACACCTTGCGACGAATTTCTTTGCAATCATGTGTCTCTAAAAAATAATATATAAAAAATTCTATGTCTTTTGCTTAAAATTATTAGTTTTATTTTACTTTTTTTTCTGATTAATTTTTAATTCAATTCATTTTGCATTAACTCCAAGCTTTTTAAAACTTTTTCTCCTTTTTGTCCTTTTGAACAAAACCGTTTATTTTTCTTCTATTTTCGTTGTATAATAAATATTCTTCCCCTTCACAAACGCCCCACCACCGCCACCACCACCACACTTAACCATTCATAAAAAAAAAAGAAAAAATTATATTTAAAAACTTTTTTCAAACTCATAAAATATTTATTAAAAATTTTTTTCAAAAGTAAAAAAAAAATTTCTAAATATAGTTCAGAAAAAAACTCAAAATCAGTGTATGTGTTTTATGTGTACGTGTCTATGTGTATTTAGTTTTTTTTTTTTTACTTTTTTTTATTAATTATATGTGAAATCATTTATCGTTTTTTTTTTTTTTTTTTTTTGTTACCTTTTTATAAAAAAAAGAATTTGTTTTGAAATAATAATAAATTCTTTAATTTTACCAATAATTTTACAACAACAAAAAAGTTCACAAAAAGTATATATTATTATATATGAACACTATTTATTTATTAAACATTCCATCTTAATTTTTTTTTCATTGCTTTTCCATTTTATAAATTTTTGTTTTTTTTTTTTTTTATATATATATATGTATTTTTTTTTATTACAAATTTTCTCTTACTATTGTAGTTTTAAGCTTTTGATTTATTTATGTAAGTTTAAGAAAAGAGAAAAAATTTTTTTTTTTTTACTTGCTCTTGCAATAAGAGCCCTGAACCAGCACCAGCAACGTAAAGACTTGAGTATGTTGAGATACGAAAAAAAAAAAACCAAAAAAAAAAACTATATATTTATAATAAATTAAAAAAAAAAAAAAAAAAAATGAAAAGAAAAAACCAGAAAAACAAAAAGATCAAATCCTTATATATGTTATAATCCTGCCTATACAACTACCTCAACAAATCCTTTTGTCATATCCCCTTGTCTGCGTCTAGTCATTTGTTTACATGTTCTCTTATTTCCTACCCCACCACAACAACAATGCCCCCTTTAAGATTTATAATCTTTAACAGAAACTGCAAAAAAAAAAAAAATCTTTAAATTCACAACTCTTTTTTTTTTTTTTTTTTCTTTTTATTTTAATAATAACTTATAATTTCTATTTGTCCATTACGTTTTTCATTTGAATAAAATGTAAAAAAAAAATCTTATTACGTTTAAAAGAAAAAAAAGAATTTAGAAAATTATTATATAATTACAAAATAAAAAAAAAAAAAAAACGTGATACTTTTCAGTGTATATGTGTGATGAAGAGAACGAGTACTTGAAATATACCTGAATTCACTCTTCTTGGGTAACACATTGTGCTAAGTTCTATGTTAAGAGAGTTTCATTGTGTGAGAAAGAAGAAGAAGAAGAAGAAGTATTTTGCAATATTCATTATACGCTATAGCGAGGGCTTACGTTTTTATTTTCATTTAATTCGTGAAACTCAAAAACCATATATCAGGGATCCCCAAATCTGCATAGATGCATAGTGCAAACACCTGATGTTAAAGATCAATATGACTTAAAGCCAGGTTGAATTGCTATATAATCGTGAAATATCTTTTACATCTTGTCTTGAATTAATAATTTTTGTACATATAAATGGATATATATATATATTTGCAAAATATATTCTGTTATCTTTTTACATCTTACAAGGTGCAAGGGTATTAAGTTGTTCAATTTGTGTGTGAATATGTAACATCGGGGAGAACTTGAGATGTACTTAGCTTGTATTATACCGACCAATGCAAAATCACTTGCCGATAGTGAAAGACGTATATTAAGTAAGTTAAGTCCTCCAATGTGTAAGTTTTGTTGTATTATCAGGAAAATGAGCAAATAGCTGGGGTATCGAGCGATCGGCCTTGCCCGACCATAATGTCCTTAGTATGTGTTTTCAATTAAAATAAGTGAATTGAACAAATCTCACTCTCTCTCTCTCTCTCTCTCTCTCTCTCTCTCTCTCTCTCTCTCTCTCTCTCGCTTGTGCTCTTCTATTTTTTAAACTAATCTGCAAGTGCTTCCATCGTTCTAATATATCCGTCAAAATATTTAAGTGTTACAAATGAAATGCAAAATGAAATGGGATACAATCAATTGATAAAAAAACAACAAAAATAAAAAAACTGAATATAAATTTTAAAAAAGTAATTAGAGAAAGCCGGCTGTTTTTTTTTTTTATTTTTATTAAAAAAAAAAAAACAAAAACAAAAACTAACTATAATAGCTTGGATTCGAGTTATGTGATTTTTTGAATTTTTGAAAAAATTTTGTATCCAATAACAATTTGATGTCTTTGTTACGATACTTTTTATATTATTAGTCAGAAAGGTATTAAAATTGATAATTAATTAACATTTTCAATGCAAATACAAATAGAAATAATAATAATAATAATAATAATAATAATGATAATATTTAGATAAATTGGTGTTGAAAGTATTCAAAATATTTGCAATTGAGAAGAGCGCTGCCCTTAATTGAAGGACTGAATTGAACATTCGATATTTCAATATTCTAATGAACGATAATGCACAATAACAATTAAAAACCATAATACACATAAATAGCAATAGTAATTAATTTATTTTGATTTTTCCAATCGAAAATTAGAGGAAAATTTTATATGAATTATAATTATGTACAAATCTATCTAAATAAAGCGGCGGATCGAACAGTGCTATCAGATTTCAGTTGAATGTTTTGATAGCCATTAATACATCAATTAAACTTGTCAGTTAATATGGTTTTTCGCTGCTCTGCTAGACAATTGCGACAATTCGCAAAACGAAATTTCCACGGTTTGCCTGAATATTTGTCTTCTTCTCCCTTCTCTCTAGAAAATCAATTCCAACAGTGGGACAAAGAGGTATGCAAATAAAGCCTCATCACAGGCAACGACCTATAAGTGAATGCTATGCCTGATGGAAGCTACAATGCGCGAGTATATACACTCGGTTCGGAGAGTAACAAGTGGTTGTCGTTTTTAGATAAGACCGCTAGACTAGATAGCGATCGTTAGTTGGGTTACTACAATTGAAACCTGGCAAAGCTCTCTTACTACGTTCAATCAATGGTCAGTCAATTGTCCCTGATTCTTGTATGTCTTTCTTCTTTTTTTAATTTCTTTGACGTTTCAAATTGCTG